CACACAAGGATGATCAGATATGGATGTCTGCACAAACACACACGCACGCACAAATGTAACAGATGAACACGCACGCCTGGCTGGGTGGGCTTGGTTGCTCAGGGCTGTAGTTGTAGTTGTAATTCATCTCATGTTGACTACAATGATATTTACCTGACAATGGAAAGTCTAAGCAACGATGTTGCATTAAAGGCCAAGATTTAAGGTGGAGGGATGCTTAAATCTAGATATTATGAGTTTCTCAAAAAAGAGTAAAACTTCTTGTTGAATATGAAGTTTTTAGGTGGACATCGAAATTGTCATTTGTCGTGCAGAACTGTAGTTGTAAGCATGTTAGGTGCTGAGATACCTTTTCTAGATTACATGTAATGTGATGCATCAAGTTGGACCTCCGCAACATCAGGCAATGTAATATTGACTGAATATTTGAGAAACCCAAATTATTTCAAGATTCATGGGGTGTACAGTACATTGCCATAGTATCTAAAGCCCAAAATAAGGAGTTAGCCTTAGAGGTCACCTGTTTGGTTTATTCCTTCTATGCATCTAAATGTTCTGCAGTTTGTTACATGATATTACTGAGAAAAGGAGACCAAGAAAAACATCAAATGAGAGGCTGTAGAGAAGTTTACTGCAGGGTAGGTTATAAAATGACCTACCTATCTTTGATCTTCCTCTGGTGCACTGGTCAATAATCATCTGCTGAGGTGGACTGCATGACAGAAGACCTCATATAACCAACCCCACTCTGAAGCATGATGGTTGCAGCATCATGCTGTGGGGATGTTTTTCTTCAGCTCTGAATTGATGAAGATATGGATTTGGCTAAAGCATTATCCATATAAAAAGAATCAAAACTAGAGAAGATGATCACTTTCAAAGAGGACCGCATTCCTAAAAGTAAAATTTGTAGCAGAATTCTAGTAGAATGGGTTATGTCAAACATGATGAGTTAGAATGGTCCAGTCAAAGTACAGACACAAGTTTAACTGAAAAATGGTGGCAATGCTCAAGAATTTATGTTAAGAGATGATGTTGAAATAAAATACACCAACAGGGCCTTTTCAGTCAGATGCTTTTCTGAGACTCGTTGGTATCTGCAAAAAAGAAAGTCTTTTTCACTTTGCATAAGCAAGAATATGTTGGTAACTTTCAACTATAAATTGTAAAAGGGATAGCCTATGTCTTACTTTTGCATAGACTGTTTTGGTCTCTGTCCTTAACTAAATGTTGCATGTAGTTTACTGAATTGATAATTGTTACATTTGTTTTGCTGACCAAAATAAAGATAAAGGAACAGAAATTAACTAAAATGCATATTAAGTGTTACAGTTTCATTCAGTTGCTCTTCATTAATTCAGAGTTAAGCTGCTATAGAGATCCACTGAAAGTTTAAACTGTAAACAGGGGTTAAATACAAATGTCTACCTTAATTTCCAGATTGTTTTATTGAAAAGGTTTAAAAACTGTGCATTATTTTCCCTCCCTCTGTAGAATTTCCCTTGTCTTTGCTTGTCTATCACATAAAAGCTTAATAAAATACATGACTCGTTGCGGTTATGATGTAATATTTCAAACATTTGTTGTGGTGTGAAAGCTTTATTAGGATTATTAGTTTTGTTTCAATATTGTAGTACTTCCTTATAACTTAAAATACAAAGTAATCAAGATAAATGATACACAGAAACCTCTAAAAGCTTTTTCAATTCAAGTATTTTCTTCTTGTAGTCCTCCGTTGTACCTACAGAGGGCAGCAAGAGTTCAACAAAGGATAACTCTCTGGTTAAACCTTTCATTGGCTGTAAAAACATTACTGACTCTACAGTAGTTTTTGTAGATGTACACTTTGCTGTTTCACTTGCCACAAACTATGGCACATTTTTTAATGATATATTCTGCATAATTTGAAAACATATATAAAGAAAAATCCTTTCGACATTAATTACACATAAAGCCTCTGTGGTTGCATTTTATAAGGCTGGCCAGCTCCCTGTCAACCTGGGTGTTGGGTTTGCATTGGATATGAAGGAAATTCATACTGCAGCTTTTTTTATGCTGCAGGGCATTATGTCCAGAAATAGCAACACAAGAGAGCCCTCTTTGCACATGCAGCTAGTGTTGTTCACACCAAGTGACTGACCCAGCAGTTCCAAGTCTGCACTAAAATGTTCAGTTCCTCATAACCACACGCTAATATTCTTATATTAGCACTTTCTTCAAGAAATTGTCATTTTTTTCTTAGATCTTTAAAATAATTATGAGCTGATCATTGGCTTTAATCCATTTTAGAATCTCACATATGCAGCTTTAAATAGCCAAGCTCCATCTTATATATCAGAGATATGATAGTTCCTTATGTTCCCAGTAGAGCACCTTTCTCTCAATCTGTCGGTTCACTAGTGGTTCCTAGAATTTCTAAAAGTAGAATACGGCAGATCTTTTAGTAATCAGGCTCCTCTCCTGTGGAACCAACTACCAGTTTTAGTCCGTGAGGCAGACAACCTGTTAGAGTACCTCAGGTTATCCTGAGCTATCTCTATAGTTATGCTGCTTTAGACTTGGTTTGTCCATTTTGGTAACATGATACAAAAATGCAAAACACTCTATGAGAACATTGTAACACAGCAATCTGAACACATCTTCCTCATTGTCCAACATGGTGGTGGAAGCATCATTCTCTAAGGGTACTTCTCTTCACCAAAGACAGAAAAGATGGTCTGAGTTGAAGGGAATATATATTAAGGCCAAATAAAGGAAGACAGCCTGTTAGAGTTTGCAAAGGACTTGACACTGGGGCAGATGTATTCCTTCCAGCAGAACAATTGAACGGGTTAAAACAAAGAATACGCATGTTTTAAAACCGCCCAGTCAACATCCAGAAGTAAAAACTTGGTTGAAAAACTGGTCCAAAACTTCTCCATCTAATCTGACATCTAATCTGATAGAGTTTGACTTGTTTTGCAAAGAAAAATGGGCAAAAACATGTCAATAGAAATACAAAGCTGGTAGAAACGTACAGTAAAAGACTTGTTGTTATAGTAGGTGGTTCCAAAAAGCAGAGGCTGAACATTGTAATGTGACAAAATTTGGTAACAATCAAAGGGTGTGAATTTTTTGCAAGTCACTGTAACTTCTCTCTGTCCTGATTTATAGACATTGATAGTTGCAGCACTATCATCTTTCTGTTTCTATGTTTATTCTAATGGAAATCCTGTCCAACTAAAGAGTTGCACAGCTTTTCTAATTTAAATGGTATGGATGCTTCTTTCCCACAGCTTCAACAGTAGTTAGTGTTTTATGTCAAATCTCATTACCATCACCCCATATATCCTCTAGTTTCTCCAAGCAGGCACAGAAAACAGCTTTAGCCTTTTTAGAGTTGAAGATATACAGATATATTCACCAAGTTAGAATATTTCTGAAAATTCACAAAGTAAAACCCATGAAATATAGTAGCTCTGTTATACTGATGTTTTGAAATGAAAACATGATATTTAGAATAAGATATTACATACATCAGATCCATAAAAAAATGTTTTTAATGCAGACATTTGAGCTGGCTCTGCTGGTCAATTGCATAACGTTTTAAACCCCTACTGGGTGGAAGGTGTCTCTGTATTCCTTCATTAAATACAGGTGATAACATCAATAGGCCAGCCATCCTTTTCTACCTCTACATTAGAACCATCCAAAACACCAAACACTTGGGGGAGATTTTTCTGATTTAAAAGAAAATAACAATTGATTAATTAAATGTACACGTACACTGCTGAAGAATAATATTTTGAAATAAGTAATATGGTGGTAATTTCACTGTGCTGAAAACGTCTTTAACAATAAGCTGATCGGTTTGCTATTCCTACTTGCAAGAAGAAAATCATTTATGGTTTAGTGAAGATGCTTTTTCTCCTCTAACAGATTTCCTTTATTTTTGCTTTTTTTGTTTTATCAAAATGTTGTAAATTATCAAACAATGTGGAAATAAAGTTTTCCAAGTCCCTTCCTCGTGAGATCCCACCCTGCTAATTTAAGGCCCTGTCCACACAGAGAAAAGGTGGTAGGTGTAACAACATAGATGTTTTGTGGTTTAAGCTGCCACCAAAGGGAGCTGCATGTTAACTACAGCATAATCTTTGGTGTTTTGTACAATCTTACAGATGCAACTTTTTTTTTTCGGAACCATGGACTGGGCCTTAGATGCATCCATTCTCGATGCCTTAACTAAATAAACAGTTCATCAGCAGGATAATAAGACCATCAAGATGTTGATGTCATATATAACATGAGACTTTATGGGGCTGTGATGGACTGGCGACCTGTCTAGGGTGTACCCCGCCTCTCGCCCATTAACTTACCTGCCATGTCTACAGAGATTCCAGTCATCTAGTCCTAGCTAACGAGATGCAGATCTCAGAGCAATTAATAAAAACTTTTTATAATCACTTCAGTCTGTCTGCCTGAATTCTAGGCTCAACGTTTAGAGTCCTGACACTTACCTGCTGTTTTCTCAAACATGTGTTTGCTAATTTGCAACATTTAAATAAATAAGGAGAGCCAACATTACAGGAGTAAATAGTATTTCACAGAAAATGCTCTTAGATCTAATTACTGACTTCAATGGTGTATTTTTAAAGACATCAAAGAAGAATTTATTGGCAAAACAGAAAAAAAAAAAAGTTTGGTCCTGCTTTTTTTTCCTCCTGTATTAGGGAGGGTTAGGGAGATGTCAGAACAAAATTCTGTTTTTATTTATCGTTCAGCTTTATCGGTTTCAGAGCGGACCAAATCTAAACATTATGCAATTTCAAGATAACATAATTCTGTTTCTCTTTTCTGTCTCACTGGCAGGATTTATGCAACATTTGAATCTTACACACAAACTTCAATGTGTTCTTGCTGAGAAGAAGCAGGGCTTTTCTTCAGTGTTTTATGTTGTCCTGCCTTTGTTCCAAGAAAACAGAGACAAGAAGGAATTCTGCACCCCCACTTCTCTCTTGCACAACGTCTTCATGATTTATGTTCCCTCTCTTTGGGGAGGAAGGCTTTAAAAGAGACGTTTCTGTTTCAGGGGTTAGTTACAACACCACCATGATGTCGGAGAAACAAATGCTTCTAGGGACTACTGTTTTTTTTATTGCCCTCATTTCACATGGTGAGTCTTTTCAGATGCTTTTTCCTGCAGCATAGTAGGATTTGAGTTTGATTCATTGTCATGCCTTGAATCATTTTAAAAGGTGTAAAATGTGGCTGTGAATTCCTTCAGGTGAGGGTATAATCGGTGGCAGAGAGGCAGTGTCACACTCTCGACCCTATATGGCCTCCATTCAGGTACCACAGGAGGGAGGCAGGCTGAAGCATGAATGTGGAGGATTTGTAATCGCAGATCAGTGGGTGATGACTGCAGTCCACTGTATGCCAAACGGGTGAGGGAACATTCGTCTAACCTCCAGAGACATCACCCTGAGGGATTTTGTTTTCCACTTGCAAATGAATTTACTTCCCAACCATTGTGATTTTTTTTACAGAGCAGAACTTTTTATGAAATCAGATTTTTTTTCCTTTAATATTTTTGTACTTTTTGTCCAGAGCAAATGGAAGAAAGGTAGTGCTGGGTCTCCATTCTTTGAGTGAAGCTGAAGATACGAAGCAAACATTTGACATTTTGGAGCTGCACAATCATCCTGACTTCAGCATAGACAATTATGATAATGACATTGCTCTGATCAAGGTAAGGGGAACATTATGGTCAGGATTGTCTGAAATAGAGATCCACCAGTTGAGAATTACTGAAATTTCTTAAAAGTATTAAAACTTAGAAGCATGAAAGCATTTCTCTTGATGCACTTTTAGGTGTTCAATAAAATGAGTTGCTTTGCTTATCAAGTTTTTAAATATTACTATTTTAGTTTGATTTGGAACAGCTCTATTAGATCGCCTGCAGCCATATTCTTAAGTGTTATTGCCCTGAAAACTAAAATAATAATAATTTGTAATGCACCTATGAACAAGTCAGAAGATCAGCCAGGGAAGGTTTGCTCAGAATGCCGCTAGTTTCAAATGTTCAATCGATCAATTGGTTGGATTTGAATATATTAATTAGTTAATATAAATATCTACTTCTTGTATTTTGTGTGATCATTTTACAGTTGGATCGGCCGTTTATTGCCTCTGACGCTGTTAGAGCTGTAGAATTCCTGCGAACAGGAGGAACAAACCCCGACCCGGGCACAGTGGTTGAAACCGCTGGTTGGGGTTCACTTGACAATCTGGGGTCAAGGCCAGATAAGCTCAATGAGGTGTCCATTGAGGTGATCAGCCCAGCGAAATGCAGGCGCACTGACTACTTTGGAAGAAAGTTTACCAATAACATGATATGTGCCCATAAAGTGTGCCGAGACAGCTGTGGTCACTCTCATGGAGTGGAAGACAGCTGCGATGTAAGTTGTGACCTCTATGTTATTTTTTTCCATAAATTATAAATATTCTTATGTTATAAAATATATTTCTAGTAAAAGTGCTCTTACAGTTCTGCTGTTTTTTGTTGTTCTTTTCCTTTTAGGGGGATTCTGGAGGTCCTCTGCTTTTTAATGGCACTGCTGTTGGTATTACCTCCAATGGAGGGAAAAAGTGTGGCCAACTAAAAAAGCCTGGCGTTTACACCATCATCTCCCACTACACTCAGTGGATAGATGAAACGATGGCCACTCAGACAACTGCAGCTCCAGAGCAAAGCAGTTAAAGGCAGGCTTCACATATACGAGCAAGTTACAGTATAAACAATAAATGTTTCCTTTTTTAATTCAGTCACACATTATAGCGCATGCTGCAAACTCATGTATGATCGGATAGATTTCACACCTGTATCTCACCTTCTTTTAAACCAAAGAATTAAATACCAGTTTTGTTATTATTCTTTCATGTTTCCCTTATTGAGTTCAGTCTCCTTTATCGTGCTTTGTAAATCTATGCCAGTCATTTTCAGTTTCTCTCAAATGTTGTCACATTTCAAACAAAATTTAATTCTGAGATAAAGAAATGTACAGTTTAGGTGCAGAAATCTGTCAACACTTCAGCTATTAGTTATGAGCTTTACAAATCCTGTTATTACAAAAACTACTTAGTTTTGGAAAAGAAGGAGGCAATCCTATATGCTTACATAAAAGACAACTGGACTTTCTTTTTATTTCTTAACGATATTTCACGATATTTATTATCTGCAAATTAAATAAGCAAACTGAAGAAAAGATGACAGGATTTGGTTGAGGTTTTGAGGACCCAAATGCAGAGGCAGGGAGGCAGAGGTGAGTTCTTGTAGTATTAATGGAGTAGTGTTCATAGGTAACAGAGGCAGGAATCCAAAAATCCAACTTAAAAATGCAAGACAAACCAGAACCAAAGAGACATCAGGAAAGACATGCACCAGGAGCTGAGGAAAGATGAGGAACCAGCACTGAGGAACTGCACAGGGAGAGTATTTATGGGAGACTGAACAAAGACAGGACTAACGAGCTGATCGGGAGCAGGTATGAACAGAGGCTTCTAGAAAGGAGCTAGGGAAAAGGGGACCAACACAAGAGGGCAACAGAGGACAACAAAGAAAAACCTAAGAATTCAAATACATCCAGAGAACACAACAAAATAGGAATTAAACCAATAAAACTAGAAAACAAATAAAAACATGAATCAACATGAAACTGAGAACTCAAAGAAAACTTAATAACAAACTTGGATATGTGTTAGGATGTCCTAGTCAAAGTCCAGTATTAAATCTAATTTAGTTCAGACATTTTGCAATGAAGAATCAGCAAATATTTCAGGCAAGTGTGCCAAGTTGATAAAGACAAGATAGAAACAATTATATTATTAAAAAAAAAAACACTCTTGGTGGCTAAATTCAAACAAATGCTTTCTATTGGTAAAAGAAACCATGCTCCTTTTCCCTCCATAATTATGAACAACCAGAGTTGTTTATATGGTAAACTTTAAATATCATAGGTAAAATTTTTTCATCAAAACAATGATACACAGAATGTCTGGACTGGTGCACAATAAAAGCAGTAATTCAACAGAAAAATGTGTATGCTCTAAAAAAGAAAATGCTGCTCCAACTTAAATGAATTGCCTCATTTGGTAAAAAAAAAAGTAACTAAATCAAGTAGATCCAACTTAATTTATTAAGTTTATAAGTTACAACTTGAACTACTCAAATAAATTACATGGACCAACTTATTTCAATTACCTGTTATCAATTGAGGCTATTCATTTAGGTTGGAGGTGTAGTACGTTTTTTATTTTATTTGATTTTTTTTATCTTTACTGGTCCAAAATACGTAACTAAGGAAGCAAATGGGAAGTCATGCAGAGGTTACTGCTTTCCTTCTGGACAGGTAAGTTTGTTTGCAAATGATAACCATGGCTACCACTACCTCAGTGTTAGCTTTGGACAATCTAAAAAAAACAGCTGGTTAAAACAGTGGCATTAAAGGTTGGAAGGTGTGAAGGCGAGCCCAACGTGCCAACTTCCAGCCGGAAGGAGAAAAACTTGTAGCTATCTCTTTTAAAAATGAAACGGCACGTTGTAATGAGCCCCATTAAATTAAATAATGCTTAAAATGAAAAGACAAACACAAAAGATTCCCTAAGCCAGAGAAACAAGAATGATACCAGTTAGCTTTGACAAAGGGAAATATGTTAAGTCAAAAAACAGGGTTTGCATTTAAAATTATAACATTTTATTGTAATCTGTGCAGTTGATGGAAAAGCACATTAGGAAAAAAAAACAATAAAGGTTACATCTAGCACTGTTTTTTTTAAGAATGTTTTTTAAGTAACAGTCGTATATGTCTCAGGCAACCCCTCAAAAACACAAACTAAGAAACAGGCAGGAAAAACTCCATGAACACCAGAAGTAAATACAGAGCAGCTGTACTTCATCACTCTTTCTTGGCTCAGCAGACATGCATACCGTTAATGTGAATCTGCAGCTTTTATCTGTTTAGAAAAAAAAAACTCTACCACCATAACATGTTTACAACATTCTTTTTACATTACCGATCATTTATTAAAAGTGCATGAAGTTCAGATTATCTTGCTTGGAGAACAAACTTCTCCTTAAAGCTGCAGAAAGCGGCTCTTACAGAGGACCTTCAGACTAGCAAAGGGAAACCTATTCTACACCACCCTATAAGCATAATAAAATAAAGAGATATCAAATAGCTGTGACTTAAGCAAACACCAAATATTAAACACATCTTAATCTAATATATGCATGTCTATCTATATAAGACCCTTTTTATGGAGGTTACTTTACCCTATATTGCTCATGCATGGCGTTTTTACACTTCACCAGTTAGGAAGGAAAATTAATTATCTCCTAATAAATATGCTCCCTCTTTTCTATCTGTCATGGCGTTATTTCTTTCCTGGAGCTCTTGTGAGGAAAATCTCTTCACCGAATAAGCTTGACCTCCATGTGAGGCCACCAGTTTGTCGATTCCCGAAAGCAGCTCCTTCACCTGGGGATAACTCAAACCGTTATGGGACTTCGTCACATTCAACATATAATATCTGCTCCCACACTTCCGAATAAAATCCTGCAAGGCTGAGTGAGCTCCAGCCACATAGTCATTGATTTTCAGAGGCTTGTGTTGGTTGTTATCAAAATGGACAAACAAAATAATAGAGTGTTCTGCCACGTCTCTTCCAAAGATCCTCTGCACATGTCCAAGCATTTCACTCTCGCCTTGGGTGAAGCGTCCCACCTGGAGCACCAGCAGGAAGAAGTGGGGACCAGGTAGGGCTAAGGCAAGGCAGTCTTTCACCAGCTCTATGTTCTCCACCCCATCTTCATCCCACAGTTCAGGGGTGTCCACCAGGATGAGCCGCTTACTTCCAGTGAAAATCTCCTTTCTCTCACATGACATGGTTGGCAAGGCCTGGTCGTGACAGGAGCTATTAATCGAGTAAAGACTGCCTCCCCTGGTTAAGATCAGATTGAGAGCAGATGACTTCCCACTGCCAGTGAGGCCCAACAGAACACCAGAGATCTTCTTTGTTTCATCACCTTAAAGACCAAAAACAGAATAAAAAGAACTGTTAAAGTCAAAAGAACTACAAAAAAAGCTAAGAAGTGAGAAAAAATAACAGAATAAACGAGAAGAAAATTCTTCTAAAACGAAGTCAGTGGAAAAAGGCAGAAAAGGAATTTACAGTAAGTAGCAATGGGAAACCCACAGGAATAGTTTCAGTCATTTTCTATATGAGACCAAAGTTTCTACACTCTTTCCCATTATTAAGGTTTTTTTTTCTGCTTTCTGCCTTAAAAAAGGAAAAACAAAGAATAAGCGGCTCTCTGGAGGCCTGAGAGATCATCAGCACCTCTAAAATGTCAACTGGACAACATAAAAGCCTAACAGAAAAGTAAAAAAAAAAAACACACACACACAAGACCCCAATTTGGGGTTTTTAGTGTTGGTTCCTCTTGGACCATTAGCATCAGCCTTAAAGTAGAATAAATTTTAATTTTAATATAAAAAAATATTTCTGGAAAATTAATTAGTGCAACTAAGATGCTGCATATAAACTGATAACAAAGCCTTAAGTCTAAAACACCAATGTTCCATATTGAGGAGATTTAAAGAGATTTTTAAAAGCTGCCCCTTTACTCCATCACTCATGCACCATTCTGAATAGTTCCAGTTCAGCAAAAGATGCTTCTCAAAGTTTTATGAACTCCTTTGCACAAACTAGCAGAATTAAAGGCATTGGCATGAATTCTAATAATGTATTTTAATACAAGATGGATTTTAAGACACAGAAGTCAGGAATTGGTCCTTGCTCGTCAGCTGAGCTTATTTCTTAGGTAAAAGGAAGTAATTTGTCTGGAATTCACATTATGTTTCCTGTTTCTCCTACATTTTTCGGTTCCTATCGAAGATTGTTGGCAAGGACACCCTGTAATTTAGAGTAGATCATTTTGATTAACCAGCCAAAGAAACCCAATATGAGCAACAGAATACAATTTTAAGCTCAAACACATAACCCAACATAAAACTTAGTAAAGTCAATGATACCCTCTTGTGGTTGGGTTATGCAACCTTGAAAAAACTCTAGGTTATTTGCCTGGATGCTCATCTTAGGACATATTTAAAACCTAATTCCTGAGTAGTAATTGCTTCTCTAACAACATGACTAATTTAAACCATTTCAGGATTCTCTCTGTCTGCAACAGATCTTGAGAAACGTATTAAAAAGCTTAAGCAGGTGTTGAAGCCCTTGGGGGGCTCATTGATAGTGTTTCCCAGAGGAGAAATTGTTGCAGGGAGAACAAAAGAGTTAAGCCTTTTGAAAACAAGACCAAAGCGACTACTTTCTGGTTCAAGTGAGACTTCGAGAGCCCTGGGGGCTGACTGCTTTTGCAGCTTGGTGACACCACAATCAAACAGGGAGTTTCCCAAGACAAAGGATTTCGCTTCATGACTTAACTTTTTTATTTCCTTATCTCTGTGTAGAGGACCAATGGAAAACAAGCAAATGTGATTTAGTTTATATTTTTGCCATTTAAACCATTCAGCCCTGCAGTTTCAAGCTAGCACGCATTGAATAGTAAAATAGATGGAAAACATCACACATAACCAGTGTCATTGGATTTAGTGACAATGATAGACTGTGTAGCTTTTAAACATTAAGCGTTCAAGGTTTGCTAAATGTGTGTGGTATAAATGTTGCACTAGATTATAGTTTGTAATTATTAAAGCTGTAAGCTATAATACTTTGCATATCAGCTGAACTTAGTTCAGTATAACTTTAATATCCAGCTTGCTGCATTTCAGGATATCCAGAGTAAAGACTATCTGCTAAAAAGATGCAGATTCACTGAGGGGTGCTAGACTGTGTTTGTCTTGGGAACAAAAA